CTCCCCTACTACATCAGGCTCAAGTGTACACGTCATCGACATGCACCCGCGTGGTAGTGGTCCAGCAGCCTCGTGTGCATGGCGCGCCGCTTCAATTCGATGGACCAGGTGCACTGGTGGTAAATGTGCTTGCGGCGGGATCGGTTCTTGGCGGAGTGAGTTAGATTATCAGGCCCACGTTGTGTCAAACACCATGTGCGTGAACGTCGTTCGAGCGCGTATGGGCCAGCCCGTGTAAGCACACGTACTAGAATAGATTCGGCACGTGCATCCAGTATATGTGTGCGAATGCGCATTTCATGGCAGGTGTGTGCTGCTTGACGCCAAGCCAAGCAATACAATGCACAGTTGTTGGAAGCAGAGCAGAGCAAAGTAAACAATGAAAGCTCAGCAGTGCAAGGCACTGTACCTCGCCAAAGCATATCACAGCGAAGCGCGGACGAAACATACTGTTGCCCAATCGTTTCGCACGCACCGTGGGGCGATACTACCCAGCTGACTGCGACAAGTCCCGCCATTGTGCCAGCCCAGCACCGTGGCGACTGTTCAGGGGGCGCACAGGAGGCCGCAACGTGCGACACGTCGTGCCCCGAGGCTTCGCAAACCCGTGGCGTGTGACACGCCGTTCCGCGTCGCGTCGGGGGGTATCTTCTCGTCTCCGTCTTTCTCGAGCCCTTGCAGGATCGAGCCCTCCTCGTGGGTCCCCCTTGTCTGCCGTCCGAGCCCGCGCCAGGCGTCCTCCCCGACGACGTGCTGGAGTTCGCCCTCTGGGGTGCCCGCGGTCGACATAATTCGGGAAGTCCTGCCCCTGCTCATCCTCATGCTCCCCCGCCCTCTGTCCTCCTCATCCCCCTCCTCATCATCCTCTTCCTCCTCCCGTCCCCATGTCCCCCTCCTTCTCGCACTCCTCCTCATCATCCTCCTCCTCCCCCTCATGCTCCACCTTCTCATGCTTCTCACTCATTCTCTGTGTCCCCTTCCTCCTACCCCCTTCCTCCCCCAATTCATCCATCCACTCCCCCCCCCTCCTGGCCTGTGCCATAGTCGCGTCTTGAAGTGTCCAATCCAGACCTCCGCCTCCTCTCCCTCCTGCCTCCTCCTGCCTCCTCATCCTTCTCCTTCTCCTCCTCCTCACTTTCTTCCTCCTCCTCCTCCTCCTCCTCCTCCTCGCTTTCCTCATCCTCCATTTCTTCATCCTCCCTTTCCTCCTCCTCCTTTTCCTCCTCCTCCTCCTCCTCCTCCTCTGCTTCCTTCTCTCCTCTTCGCCCTCGTCGTCCTCCTCTCCCTCTCAAGAGCCGTGCTGGTTCGCGGTGTTGAAGTCCCAAGAATGGCGGTCTGGCACAACTCAGGATCGTGACGACGCAACACTGGTTGATCCGTGGCATTGGAATCCCGAGAACAACGTGTTGGCATGCTTCAGGGTCTTCAAACGGCTGTTTTCCAACGAGGCAGTTCCATCAATAGAAGTGAACCGTTGTACGGGCCTATGAAGAGGGAGCTTGAAGGGAGGGTTTCTTCAAACATCGTTAATGATTATTGGGTTTACACTGGTCCTCCTCCTCCTCCTCCTCCTCTTCCTCCTCCTCTTCCTCCTCCTCTCTCAACCTTTCTCCAGACCTCCTCCTCCTCCTCCCTCCTCCTCCTCCTCGTCCTCCTCCTCCTCCTCATCATCATCATCACCATCATCATCATCAGCATCATCATCAGCATCATCATCAGCATCATCATCATCATCAGCATCATCATCTCTCAACCTTTCTCCAGGCCTCCGTCTCCTCCTCCTCCTCCTCCTCCTCCTCATTCTCCTCTGCTGGAGCCTGCGGGGCCTCGTCGTAGGTATCGTCGCTGATGATGTGGCTGGTGGACTGGTTGAAGCTACCGGTCTGATCGCAGCCTATGATGTGATTGGTGTTCTGGCTGGTGTTGCCGCTCTGGGCGCGGCGATGCCCTGGTAGAGCACGTTGATGCGCCTCTGGAGATTGTCGAGATTGATTTCCAGCTCGATCGTGCCTTGGATGGTGTCGCCGTCGTCCTCCTCCTCCTCCTCCTCCTTCTCCTCCCCCTCCTCGTTCTCCTCCTCCTCCTCCTCCTCCTCCTCCTCCTCCTCCTCCTCCTCCTCCTCGCAGGGGTCTGGAGCGTTCACGTGCACCTTGGATCAGCCCCCGAAGCGTATTTGCCTTGTTTACCTTCTCATCCTTGTCGCTATCGTAGTTCGAAGGCCACGTCGATGGTGTAGGTGCGCGTGCACCTGTCTGTTATGAAGTGCGTCGGCGTTCTGGTCTCCATCCATATAGAGGGCGACATTGTTCCCTTCTATGCACCGCTCGATGAATGCGCCACCCTCGAAACATCCACCAAAAACACAAGCTGCGGTTCCCTTCGTAGCCCTGGTTCCAGCTGTAGTTGTCGCCCTGGTTCTGGTTGCAGCTCAGTCTCCCGTTGGGGCCCATTTTTCCTGGTGTAGCTGCAGCCCCCGTTCTGGCGAAGCCCAGGTTCCACTTGCAGCCCCGCCTCTTGGCGACCAGCCTCGTCAAGGCTGGCAGCCGAGTCGGCGGGGGCTGTAGCGAGGTGATCGGGATCGCCGCGCGCTCTCAGGGGCCGAGGTGGAGACCAGGTTGCCACAGGGGCACCTGAGCCCACAGGACCAGCTGGTGCCCAGCTCGCGCGAGGCGGTGTAGGCTTTCTCCTTGAGCACGTCGGGGACATGAGCTCAAGGATCCGAGTGAAGGCAGCCGCGCTTCTGCGCAGCTGGAAGCCTTGCCCCAGCCGGTGTTGCCCCGGCAGTGGCCCTGGGTCCATTTGTAGTTGTAGCAGGAGTTTAGGCGGTCGCCGTGGTTCCAGCTGCAGCCCTGCTTCAGGCCGTAGCCTTGGTTCTTGTCGACGTGGTTACGTATGGTTGTGGCCCTGGTTCTGGCTGTAGCCCGGGTTCTGGCTGTGGCGGCTCGCTGTCCTGGTGTCGAGTTTCGTCCGACCGTGTTTGAGGGTGCACTCTGGCTCGCGGGCCTTCGTAGCTTCTCTGGACCCGTAGGCCCTGATTTTCCCAACCATCCTGACGTGTTGGTTCCTCGCTTTGAAGAGACGGTCCCCGCGTTCCTTTCTTCTTCTCCTCTCATCCTCCTCCTCCTCCCCTCCCTCCTTCACCCACCCAGTACAGCGTTACGTGGCCCCATAGAGACTCCACCGAAACCCCCAGTGGGACCGCCCGCATGCGTCCCCCACACCCAATTTGGCATTTTCACCCACCCAGTACAGCGTTACGTGGCCCCATAGAGACTCCACCGAAACCCCCAGTGGGACCGCCCGCATGCGTCCCCCACACCCACTTTGGCATTTTCACCCAACCAGTACAGCGCTTCGTGGCCCCATCGGGAGCTCCACCGAAGCCCCAGTGGGACCGCCCGCATGCGTCCCCCACACACACCAAATTGGCATTTTCACCCACCCAGTACCACGCTTCGGGCCCCATCAGGAGCTCCACCGAAGACCCCATGGGACCGCCCGCATGCACCCCCCTGCCCAATTTGCATTTCACCCACCCAGTGCGGCATAGGAGCTCCACGAAGACCCAGTGGGACCGCCCGCATGCGCCCACACCCACATTGGCATTTCACACACCCAGTACAGCGCTTCGTGGCCCCATAAGGGAGCTCCACCGAAGCCACAAGTGGGACCGCCCGCATGCGTCCCCCACACCCAATTTGGCGTTTTCACACACCGAGGCAGCGCTTCGTGGCCCCATAGGGAGCTCCACCGAAGCCCCCAGTGGGACCGCCCGCATGCGTCCACACACACACACACACACACACACACACACACACACCACACAACCAACCAACACACACCTTGCATTTTCACCCACCCAGTACAGCGTTTCGTGGCCCCATCGGGAGCTCCACCGAAGCCCCCAGTGGGACCGCCCGCATGCGTCCCCTCCACACACACACACACACACCTAATTTGGCATTTTCACCCACCCAGTACAGCGCTTCGTGACCCCATAGGGAGCTCCACCGAAGCCCCCAGTGGTACCGCCCACATGCGTCTCCGCATCCACTTGGGAATTTTCACCCACCCAGTACAGCGCTTCGTGGCCCAATAGGGAGCCCCACCGAAGCCCCCAGTGGGACCGCCCGCATGCGCCCCCCACACCCAACTTGGCATTGTCACCCACCCAGTGCAGCGCTTCGTGGCCCCATCGGGAGCCTCACCGAAGCCCCCAATGGGACCGTCCGCATGCGTCCCCCGCATCCGATGTGGCAGTTTCACCCACCCAGTACAGCGCTCTGTGGCCCCATACGGAGCTCCACCGAATCCTCCAGTGGGACCGCCCGCATGCGTCCCCCACACACAATTTGGCATTTTCAACCACCCAGTACAGCGCTTCGTGGCCCCATAGGGAGCCCCACCGAAGCCCCCAGTGGGGCCGCCCACATGCGTCCTCCACACCCAATTTGGCATTTTCACATACCCTTTATAACGCTTCGCGGCCCCATGGGGAGCTCCACCGAAGCCGCCAATGGGACCGCCCGCGTGCGTCCCACACGCCTAATTTGGTATTTTCACGCACCCAGTACAGCGTTTCGTGGCCCCATAAGGGAGCTCCACCGAATCCACAAGTGTTACCGCCCGCATGCGTTCCCCCCCCACCCAGCGCAGCGCTTCGTGGCCCCATAAGGAGCTTCACCGAAGAAGATGTTCACACTTGCGGTACCCACAACTTCATATGGTTGGGTCTTTCGCCAGGATAATTTCGGTGTGTGCCAGGTCCTCCCCAATCGTTGGCTCGCCCGGCCTCTTGGGGCCATCGCCCAGGAGGACGCCCTGGGTACTGCTCCAGTGCGGTGCCACCTTAGCGTGTGTTGCCGCGGCAGCCCGCGGCGAGGTCCACGCTGTACGTAGTCCCTGCTGTTTCCGCCCTTGTTCCGGAAATAGTTGCCGCTGTTGTTGCCGTAGTTTTCCTGGTCCGAGTGGTTGTAGGTAGCCCTGGTTCCGCTTGTGGCCTTGGTTGATGAGGCCCTCTGGGTGGGTGTAGCTATGGCCCTGGTCGTAGCTTTGATTCCAGTTGTGCCTGAGGTTGTTGTCGCCGTGGTTCCCAGTGTAGTTGTAGCTATTGCTGCCGTAACACTCCCGGTCCTTGTCGTAGTAGGTGGCCAGAGCAATCGCCACGTCCTTGGTTGTAGGAGGGAGAGCTTTCCCCCCTGCGTTGGCGATTCTGCGCATGGCAGCGCGCCCTGTGGTGGGTTAGGTACTGTAGTAATTGCGGTGGTGGCTCTCGGCTTGGGCTGGTAGGCTCTGCAGTTGGTCTGGTAGGCGTTGCAGTCGGGGTGGCCCGCGAAGTCCTGGTGGAGGTCGCGGGTGCCTTGCCGCGTGGCCACTGCGCGGACCTGCGGGCGCCGCGCTCGTCGCCGCCCGCATCTCACTCCCCTCTTTCTCCCATTCCTCATCCGCCTGATCCTTCTCTTACCGGTCCCACTCCTACTCCGTATAGTCATCATCATTCTCCTCCGCCACACCGGCTTGCTAATGCACGCGCGTCGGGGATTGTTTGTGCATTTGACAGAACTCCAGACTTCGCCCGCCTCATTATCATTACTCCCTTCAGCGAAGATGCAAAATCCGTTCATCGATGCTCATCATCCCGATCACCCTCCTCTTCTCTACCCTCTCCCTCTCTCTCTCTCTCTCTCTCTGTCTCTCTCTTTCTCTCTCTGTCTCTCCCTCTCAGTCCCTTTGGTGTCTCTCTCCCTCTCTCTCTCTCTTATATGTCTCTCTTCCTAGATATACCCATAGCACATCTATGTAGATAGCTATATCTATATATGTTGTACATACACAACTGTATATGTCTAGAACACTTTCTCAGATGAATACCTGTCTCTCTTTTTTTTTTTCTCTCTCTCTCTCTCTCTCTCTCTCTATCTCTCTCTCTCTCTCTCTCGCCAGCAGTATCGTCATCGCCATTACTGGCAATGTGGGTGCTGAATGGCGAACGGGAGACTCACTGGATGAGATGGGGAACTCCCGCTTGAGGAATACCAATGTGTATGGAGGATGTTTAAAAGGGGATGGGGTGGGAGATGTTGTTGTGGATCTGCACCCGCCCGCCACCGCTATTAGTAGCCCGTCGACATTGAATCGATACGGGGAGGGGTATCCCTTACCCTTCTCTTCGCAAACCCTTCTCCCCCCCCCCCTCCCTCCCTACCTCCCCCCTTGCCGAGGGGGAGGGGGGAACAAGCCATAAGGGGAGAACCAGGGCAGGGGAAAATGATATAGCATAAACGGGACGACCACGTGTGTAAATATATGTACATATAGACATATATATATATATGTGTGTGTAGCATGTTAGCCAGTGTGGAGCGGAGCGATACGCTACCCGCTCGTAGGGCATAGCGTGTCGCTGGGGGGGCCGCCGCGACGCGCTAAGCAACAGTTCCCGATCGTAGACCACATCCTCCCCTTGCACCTCCACTTCTTTTGCCTCGCCCTCGCTCTCGCTCTCGTCGTCGTTGCCGTCGTCGTTGTCGTTGTCGTTGTCGTCGTCGTCGTCGTCGTCGTCTTCGTCTCCGCGGAGGGGGCGAGCGCAGAGGAGAGCAGGAGGGGGGCGGATACGTACAGACGGCAGACAGGCGAATGATCGACGGAGGGGAAGGAGAACGATGAGGACGCTGAGAAGGACGAGGATGTGGTGGAGAGGGAGGAGTACGGAAAGGACGAGGAGAAACAAGAGGGCGACGACGACGAGGATGATGATGTCGAGGCGGCGGGGGAGGTGGATGTGAATAATGAGGACGAAAGGGAAGAGGTAGAGTATGATCATGCCTTCATAAGCGACATGTTAATTCGACTCAACGTTGATACGTAGGATGTGAGTTGCACGACCCGCGTTAGGGGTTATGATGGGAATACCTGCGGCGACGCATTGTCGCTGCTGCTGCTATCCAGGCCCTCCTTGTCTGTGCTGAAGTGCACTGCTGTCATCTACCCCTCGCCGCCCTTATCTCTTCCCACCGTCTCCATGCATTCCCCGTGCAGTCAAGTGAAATACGGACCGCCTCTGGCTTTCGGGCCGTTCCTGAGGTCTTCCTTCAGGGAATGTGTTCGTGGCCGAGGCTCGCCTTGGCCAGAAGAGCCCCTTCGCTCCTTGCTTGGCGATCCGTTGGCAGCACTTTGGCTGCAGCCTCACGAATCAGCAGCCGGGAAGCCACGCGCGAAGCTGCCGCCATCGAAGCTTGACGGGAGGCTCGCGGGCGATCCGAGAGCTTTCTGTCAATGTTTCTTGTTGGCCGAGCGGCAGCCGCCAGGAGAAAAAACGGAGAAGGAGGGACGCACCAACGCCTTGGCGTGTCAAAGGCCCCGCCCACGCGGCCATGAGGACGAACAGCGGAAGGGGGAGGTTAGACGGGTGGAGGGCCGCAGGGGCGGGGCCGCGATGGGGCAGAGGAGCCAGGCGGGAGAGGGAGGAGGCCCGCTCCGTCCCTGCCCTCGTGCTGGCCTCCTGGCGTACCCCCCCCCCCTCAGGCGAGGGCGACGGCGGTGTCGAGGAGATCGTCGCGAGGAGAGCCGCGAGCCATCGCATGGCAGCGCGTTGAATGCCCTACCGCTCCACCCAGGTCTCCTACACCCTCGTATGTCCTCCTCCTCCTCCTCCTCCTCCTCCTCCTCCTCCTCCTGCTCCTCCTCAGCCTCCTCCTCCCCCCCTCCCCCTCGTCCTCCTCCTCCTCCTCTTCCTCCTCTTCCTCCTCCTCCTCCTCATCCTTCTTCTCCTCCTCCTCCTCGTCCTCCTTCTCGTCCTCCTACTCCTATCCTTATTCCTTATTAGAATACTCATACTCCCCCCTCTCCCCGTCCGATAGCCGCCCCATCCGGGACGTTCCATCCTAACCTGCAAAAATAAGAGAACATCAACATGCTTCGTCACTGTTCCTCTCAACATGGACGTCCTGTCGTCCACGTCGATAACCTCTTGTAAAACATGCAACAAAGAGCACACGCGCGCGTTCATGCCAAAGTCCTACCACGCATACTGTGGTTGCAAGCATTTCAACATAAAAAATGGCACCATATAACACATGTAAACAAAACAATGGCTTTCAACACAATTCTTCAGAATTTCTGCCCGCCCGCAAGTGCTGAAGCCATAGGAAAACATACGATTTCCATGATTTCGTGAAAAAGCCAGCGATCTCATCACACCGCGCGGTGCACTCGCGATGCTCTGTAATGCACCCAGGGCGCGAATCCTGTGCAACAAAATACCACGTGGGCGACATGCGCGCGCGCCGCCGCGAGCGCATGTCCAAATCCTTCCAGAGTCGTCGCCATCATCGGCACCGTCGCTGGCCTTGCCGTCGCTGTCGCAATCATCGTGGGCCACCCACCCGAGTCACCGACTTGCACCGAGGTGCTTGCGCGCTGGCGCGGCCTTTGAGACGCGTTCGGTCAGTTCCCATCGGCCACCGCAATCGTGGCCGCAAGAATTCTGCCACACCAGCTGGCCGATCTGCACGCGCGATGCGCTTTGCCAGCCAAGTTTCGTAGGGCTTCCTGGATTTTCCTGGACCTCCTGGGGGTTCCCGGAGGGGCTCCTGGCGTCTCCTGGGCATTCCTGGGGCTTTCTGGGGAAGGACTCGCTGGGACCGTCAGGGGACTCCTGGTGCCTCCTGGGGCTCCCTTGGGCGTTCTGACACATCTTGGGGCTTCCTGGGGCCCCCTTGAAGCTTCCTGGGTCCTCTTGGGGCATCCTCGACTCGTGCTGAAATGCCCGCGCAGCCTTTGAGACGAGCTGGGGAGCTCCCATAGGTAACCGCTGTCGCGGCCGCATCAACTGTGTCAAACCAGCTCGCCGATGTGATCTCAGCTCCTGGTTGTGCCAGCATTGTTTCTTATGTTGTGAGAGGGCGGGGTGGGAATGGGCATGCCATGCATGTCTCGCTCGAGCTGGCTACCTTGAATCCGACTCATACTCCTAATTATCTTTCTCCTCACCCCTTCCTCTTCTTCATGTTTCTCCTCATTTTCTTCCTCCTCCTCCTCCTCCGCCTCCCCCTCCTCCTCCTCCTCCTCCTCCTCCTCCTCCTCCTCCTCCTCCTCCTCCTCCTCCTCTTCCTCCGCTTCCTCCCTTCATCCATCCTTCGTCTTCCTCCTTCCCTCCCCCCCCCCTTGTTCCTCCTTCCCCGTCCTTCCTTCTCTCTCCTGGCCCCCGCCCCACGCTCTCAGCCCCGCCCCTCGCCACGAGGAGCAGGAGGAGGGGGAGGAAAGGAGGAGGAGGAGGAGGAGGGGTGAAGGAGGATAATAGGAAAAAGAGGGAGGAGGGAGGAGGGCGAGGAGGATTGTGACTGGGAGGAGGAGGGGGAGGAGGAGGAGGAGAAGGAGGAGGAAGAGGATTTTGTGTAGACCCAAGACTCATGTTGTAATACGACATCCCTCCCAAGCTTCCTCTTCACAGGCCCTTACGACGCCCTTTTCCATTCAAAAAATTGCCCCGTTGGGTGACAAACGTGTGGAAATCTTGAAGCGTGCCAAAACACCAAAAACACCATTCTCTGGATGTCAACGCCACGGGTCAGATTGACCGCTGCGCTTTGACGATCCTTAATCGTGCCAGAACACTATTCCTGGAATTTCAACACCCCGAATCGACGTAACTGGTGCGCCCTGACAACCCTGAGTCGTTCCAGACACCGTTACTGGTACGTTGGTCATGAGAATCAGCGAGCCCCTGCACTTGTTTGAAACGAACGTGCGCGGCGCTACGCCGAGAGCCACAGTTTGGAAAAGAACCGCCCTCAACTCGTGAAGCCCTTGCAAACGTTTAAAACCAATCTGCGCGGCGATCAGGCGAGAGCCATAGTTTGAAAGCGACCCGCTGTCAAGCCGTGAAGCTCTTGCATGTGTTACGAATACGCGCTAAGGCGAGAGCCACAGTTTGAAAACCACCCGCCCTCCGTGTGTGAAACTGTTGTTGGCGGCGAAGCTTCAGGTTCAGCATTGGCCAGGAAGTCTCGGGCGAAATGCCCAGCCCCCCCTTTTAATTGGCTTCGGGATGCGACAGGAAGGAGTTTTTCATAAGGGAAAGGACTAGAGAAGACGGAGGAGGAGGACAAGGGATGGGATGAAGAGGAGATGGGCGAGGAGGATGTTGATGTGGTGAGACGGAGGCAGAG